ATTTTTAAAAAAGTATTTGCAAGAAAATTTGATACTGTTGGAAGATAGAATCTGGATTGGGTAAGGGATAAGAGGGGAAATAGAGCAAATGTGATAAGGTCAATAGTCGGGAGGTTTTCATGACATGAGAGAATTGTTAAGTAAACTGGAAGGATGCAATCTAGGTAAGAGAGAGATGGTTGAACTAAAGACTGCAAAGGTGACACACTAGCAGTGACCAGGCAAGTGATGCTGAGGTAGAGGGAAAAAGATCATCACTGGAGCTGTGGAAGTCAAGGACCTGAGACCACCAGGATGCTGGATGGATCATCCACGTGGTTGCTGAGATATTCAAGAAGGAAACAAGAGCAGTGGACGAAAGATGGAGAGCCATTTCTCTTTGACTTCTCCTCCAAATACTTTCTCTCTAAAATGAGGGAAGGTGGAGAAAATAAATAAGGGATGAATTACTAAAGCATACAGGCTCTTACACTTTACAAAAAACTAAAATGTTCTACTAGTGTATTTGTAAAACATTCCAGTAAATTAGAACATGTAACTATTTAAAATTATTTTATTCATGCATTCAATAAATTTGTTGAGCAAGGAAAGAGCAAATTGTTGAGAGCAACTGAAAGAGCAGAGCAACGAGGGATATTTACAATAGAGGCAAATCTCAAAAGGTAAGGACAGCATGACCTTGCTCAGAAAAACTGCTCAAGGTAAAAGCCCTTGCTTTTTCACAATGCTAGATACCAGAACTATATATTCAATTCTTTTAGTATAGTCATATGATATGTATGGGGGTGTGTTTATGTTTATATGTATATTCTTTTTTTTTTTTTTTTTTAAAAATTTTTTTTTTTTTTTATTTTTCCCCCCCAAAGCCCCAGTAGATAGTTGTATGTCATAGCTGCACATCCTTCTAGTTGCTGTATGTGGGACTCAGCCTCAGGATGGACGGAGAAGTGGTGCCCCAATGCGCACCCGGGATCCGAACCCGGGCCACCAGCCATCGCAGCGCGCGCACTTAACCACCAAGCCACAGGGCCGGCCCTATATGTATATTCTTAAGAAAAAAAATGAGAGAGAAATTAACAGCATCTATGGAATGCCAACCAGCAAAAACCAACTTAGGCCAGAGAAAGCTGAAACTGACAGGGCTCCTCAGGGAGGTTTGACAAGAAACAAGCGGACCTGGGGCAGACCCACAGAAAGGCTCAGGTATCTAAACTGTCAGGTATTTCTGAAACAAGGGTCAAGGGCAGGACTCAAAACAACAACATTGAAACTGTATCAGTAGCACAGATCTTTCCACAAGTAAGAAAGGGTCTTTACATTTTGGAGGGAACACAGAGATTTAGGACTCCATGAGATTTAAGACTCCATAACAGCTAAGGATAGGCCCTGTACTGAAAACAGAGTTTGTCCAAGCCTTCTCAGTGAACAGTCAGACTTTCAGCCATTTTCCACGTTTGACTTCTAGAGTTCTAGGGCTCAGGTTTATAGCCCTAGGAATCCCTCTCAGAGAAAACAGATTTGCCAAAGAGAAAACAGCCATAGGATTCTGACATTTGGGAATTCTTCCAATGAAAAAGTGGTCCTGTTGTCCTACACAGAAATCTGCCAGCCAACAAACCCGGACCATGCACAGTAAGCTCCCAGTCAGCTTTTTAAAATGCCTCACTTTTAAATATGAACAGTCAGTCAAGGATCACCAGCCAACTGAAGAAAGATTTCAGCATGAGACAGAGCCTAAAATACTCAGGTAGCAAAATGGAACCTGAAAGAAGAGAGATTCTGTGAGATGAGGAAGAAAACTCAAACAAAACTATAATGTCCTCGACAGTCGACAATGAAAGATATTTCATCTGAAATTTTATAACACCATGAATAGAGCTTCCAGAATGAAAAAGCAGGACACACAAAGGATAGGAGATCAAAATATATGTTGAATTCTTTGCCTCTGTAAGCTAATATACAATGGAGCGATGTCTTCAGAATTTTGATGGAAACTACGTCCAACCTAGATTTCTATACTAAGACAAACCATAATTCAAATGTGCTAGTAGAATAAACTTCATCAGGTATACAGAAGCTCCAGAAAAATGAGGTAGCAAACCAAGAAAAGACAAACATGTGCGGTCAAGGAAACAGGAAATCCAAATGGGAGAGGAAAAGGGAATTACCAAGCACAGTGAAAGGAAATCAAAAGTGACAGCTACCCAGCAAATCTAAATGGCAATCAAGCCAACAGGAGGAAGAAGACAGAAGACATCAACGAAAAAGAAAAGAACCTATAGACTCTTAAGGCTTACAGTTCTGTCAAGTTTGGGGATGAGATTATACAACAAATTAAAAGATTAAACGAAAAAAAGAAGTACTTATTAACTACAGGAAAAACAAATGTTGTGCAAGAAAGAAAATATGACCATAACATACTACATAGCCGTTTGTTAAAAACATCTACATGGGGGCCAGCCTGGTGGCGCAAGCAGTTAAGTGCATGCGCTCCGCTGCGTCGGCCAGGGGTTCGCCGGTTTGGATCCCGGGCGCACACCAACACACCGCTTGGCAAGCCATGCTGTGGCGGCATCCCATATAAAGTGGAGGAAGATGGGCACAGATGTTAGCCCAGGGCCGTCTTCCTCAGCAAAAAGAGGAGGATTGGCAGATGTTAGCACAGGGCTGATCTCACAAAAACAAAAACAACAACAAAAAAACATCTACATGGTTACATAACACATACTAAACCCTAATGTAAACAAAATTTGTAAGTGACTGTATTGGAAGGATGGGGAAAAGGGAAAGTGTTGGGACAGCTGTGGCTAGGAGATGTGATTGAGAGCAAAATCCTTGTTTTTCACAGAAATAACAATGATAGCAAATCTAAAGCATATCATGTTCCAGGCAGTTCTAACTACTGATATTAATTCACTCATCCTCATGAAACCCTTGCCATGATTATCACCCCCATTTTATACATGAGGAAACCGAGAATGTAAGTAACTTGCCAAAAGTCACAACTAATGAATAATAAAGCAAAGAATCAAACCCCAGCAATACCGCTCCACTCTCCATGCTCATATCTACAACAACGGCAGTTCCCAGGAAGTCTTTACATTCTCAAAAATTACTGAGAACACCAAAGACTCAGTCCATATTGGATATAACTATCAAGAGTATTTTAGGGCCGGCCCTGTGGCTTAGCGGTTAAGTGCGTGCGCTCCGCTGCCGGCGGCCCGGGTTCGGATCCCGGGTGCGCACCAAGGCACCACTCCTCCAGCCATGCTGAGGCCGCGTCCCACATACAGCAACTAGAAGGATGTGCAGCTATGACAGACAACTATGTACTGGGGCTTTGGGGGAAAAATAAATAAATAAAATCTTTAAAAAAAAAAAAAAGAGTATTTTAATAGCCTTTTCAGAATTATGGGGATTCTTCTTTAATGTGACACAAAATTTAGCAAAGATTTCTTAAAGGCTGATTGCAATGTCAAATGTGAAATCACATCAACGAACTTTTCGTATTTTCTTATGTTAAAATTCATGGGCCTATGGTGCAATTTGAGAGTCTATTTTGCATGCACTGGTCATTTGGAAAATACTGATTCACTCAGTTACGCAGATCTTCCAAATGTTAACATATTTTATTATACAATATAAAAATATCACATTCATTAATACCCCCACAGATCTATCAGGAAAGTCTAGCTATTGGGAAGTTGTCAAGCTCATGGTGGTAAATGCCAGTTTTCCAAAATTCTAATTTTTTTGTTGAAAACTCATTTTATCATTGGTAAGAAATATTTCAGTTTTTCCTTGAAATAGCAGGTTCACAGTTCATTTTTAAGAAAATGTTAGCCACATTCCCAAGTCTGACTAACCATGATATCTGTCAGTCATGCTTTCGAGTAAAAATGATGTTCCGTGAAAAAAAGTGGCTAGCTCAGCTCACAGCTCAATCACACACGATTTCTCTCGAAACATCCACCATATTTCTGGATGTACGCTGGAAGTCCTTGATGCATAATTCGCACTTCATGACACATAATACTCAAAGGTTGAGAATTAATAATTATTTATAATCTTTATTGCTTCATCAAGGATGTTAAGTGAAAGTGGCATTATTATTATTTCCTGTGAGTGTGTAGCAGTGCTGAATAAAATGACAGTTTGATGCCACCAGTTTTACCTACCACTGCTTTTGTACCATGAATGCAAACATCAACAGTGAAAAAACGCAAATAACATCTTAGTGCTGTAACAAAAAATAGTTTTGACCTCATGGGCCTCTTGAATGGAACTCAGGGATCCCTAGGGATCTGCAGATAATCTTTGAGAACCACTGCACTGCACTATAGGCCTCACGCATGCGCTGTGTAACACTGAAAAATAAGGAAGTGGCAATATAAATACACTGTAAAGTAGGAAGGCCAATACCAAGAGTCAAAAGTAGTCGTCTTTCAAGAAAGGTAAGCTGGGGACTGTGCCTTTCATAGTAAGCCTTGTACTACTATTTGACTTTTGGGGAGCTTGTATCATTCCAATAAAAATCTGCAAAAATATCTAAATACTTCCCCATCAGCTGACAAATAATTTGCTCCCTTCCAGAAGGTTATCCCAAATACATTGTTTTAGGGGAACTCTTGCCCCTACACGCCAATACTTAGCAGTCACAAAAAAATTAGACACTTAGAGACAAGATACTAAAAGAAAAAGGTTGGAAAACACTGCCTTGCTTCATTATAGGAAAAGAGACATTAACTAGAAAAAAATTTGCAAAATAAAATAGAAAGCTCCTATAGAATGCCATTTCTATCCAAGATCTCATAACTCTTAATATATCCATGCTCAACATCACCATTTATGCTAACTGCACACTCTCTGTAAAACAGAGAAAATATTCTCCTCTCCAGATCCAAAACAGATGAGATGCACTGGAATGAAGAAACACTGTAAAAAAGCTTCATAACAGAGGAAAACATTCCCCCTAGACAGGGCTTAGAAGAAAATCATACCTGAAAATGGGAATTCTGTGTCAAAGGAGATTTCTCTGCATTCTTTAAATTCCGCTGTTGAGCAATGAAACGAATAAGATGGTTTGTTTCAGGAGAGCCCCGGGCACCGACTGTAGAGCGTCGTCTGGATTTTTTAAGGTAGGATGATGACTTTCCTATAATGAAAACTCTCTTTTAAACTGGAATAAGACAAGGCAATCATCAGTAATCATGTCCTGATTACCCATAATGTACCAGCCTGAGAGAGAACATGATAAACACACGGTACAGAAATCTAAATAGAAAATTATAGGCAAAATTGTTCTGATCAGCTCCGTAGGGATCTTTGTTTTGTCTACTGATTTATTCCATGCTCCTGGAACAGTGCCCAGCACACAGACGACATTTATCAAACAGTTGTGGAATAAAGGCATGAACATATTTTACTTAATAGTTCTCATATTTTTGTTTCATATTTCCTGCACACAGAGGTGGGTAATGGCTTCCTTTGGACTAAGAATTTCTCTTTTTCTGAACTAGTCTCATCCCCAAGACTAAAAGGAAAGAACTCCACCTAGGCACATGTATTCTCTGTTTCCAGTTCTTCAAGATAATTTCTCTCTTAGATACCTACCTACCTCCAGCACACTACCCTGAATTCTGGCCAAACACCTAAGCGCACAATATAAATCTAGCTTTTTAAAAGTCTAAGAGTGATGTTCTTGAGAAGGGAACATAGAGTGGCATGCTCCTCTGGTCTTGTCTCAAGCACCTATTTCCTAGCCTAGGGCCCTCTGACTTTCAAGTTCCCCATTACCCTCCATTCCTAAATGCTATTCTCTAATCTAATTCCATTCCCCTATTTCCTTCTTCGCCATCTAAGTCAGACTTCACAGGCTCCTGTGAATTTCGTTCCTACTTCTTGAAGATTAGCCTTTGGGTAAATTTTCTGTTTCTAATTTTAAAAGAGGCATACTCCAATCTTTCAGTGTTGTATTTTCTTAATCACTTCAACTTCTTTTACTTTTGTCATACAAAACCACAAAATGTATTACTTTTTGTAGTATACACACTCCGGTATCCCATGTGTCTGGTCAAAAAGTGATTCATACACATATTCTTTTCCAGTTCGGGCACAGAGCACAACTCTGACTTAGGAGCATTGTCATGCTGGATGCCCCGGGGGCCCTGGTATCCTGCTGCGCTAGAACTGTGTATGTGCACAGAAGTCTCCTTGACCAAGCAAGTTTGCAGAGTCAATTTAAATACGTCAAGTAATAAGACACAATAGATGAACAAAACTGAGTTATATTAAAGTTATTTTTAAATTCTAAAAGCACTGCAAAGAATGACAACTTCTCTTACCAGAAGAGTTCTTCACAAAGCTGTCAGATGTAATTCCCAAGTGCTCTACAGTTACTGAGGAAAAGTTCAAAGGTGATTTAAAACTATCCGGTGTGCAATAATTAGGAGTCACTTTGCGCGAGTGTTTCTGAGGAGTTACAAGGTTCCCATTTCCAAAAACTAAAGAGGCATTTTCTGAAACAGACATGTTGTGGAGATTAAACACCATTCTCAAGATAAACACCTAAACCTTAAATTTCACAAGGCGGCAATAGATTACTACACACCAGCATTATTAACAGCAGACTCCTTGGTTTCAGGGAGCTTGCTGTCCTTGAAGTTGGTATCCATCTAAAAGAAGGAGAGAAAGAAAGAAACAAAAATGACCACACCGCTCAGATTAATGTGATTCTATCGAGATCCTCATGCAAGACTGAACCCTAATGCAATCGATGCTGGCATGAATATAGATGCCAAGAAAGTACCTCTGGAGCTCAAATTAAAGAGAGAAACGGAGGAAACCTGTTCAGGATGAAACAAAGCAGACCCCATACTACAAGCCACGGCTTTTCATCCTCAGCGAACATCCGAATCATCCGCGCACCCTGGGAAACACGCAGCTTTCTAGACTCGCAGAAATTCCAATTCAGGAGGTGTGGCTGAGCCCCAGAACCTGCATTTTAAACAGCCCGCGGGTGAGCAGCTCAGGTGGCAGGAGGACCCCCACCTCGGTGGGGCAGGATAAGCAGAGCACAGTTCGAGAAACGGCCGACCCCACAGCTCTGCGGCCCGCATGTGAAACCCCGCCGAGCCACTGCCCCACCTCTCCCGCCCGCTCGGCTCTCCTCCGCCGGGGTCCACCGCGAGCACGGCCCCGCAGACGGGCGTCGTGCCGGTCGGCCTTCCAGACCTCGGCTCTTTGGTCCTGAAGGTTCGCTCGGGAAAGCGACCGCCGGAAGGCCGCCTCGTCCCCGGCCGCCGCCGCGACCGCCCCGACCCCGCAGCCGCGTTACCGCACCCTCCCCTCGGCTCGCCGCCGCCCGCCGCCGGATTCAAATCGCCGGCCCCGCCCCGCGGCGTCCGGCGTCACTCGGCGAGTCTCTACGCCGCCGCCACCCGCAAGTGTCCGCGCCCTCTCCGACCTCTCCCAGACCTCTTCCTCGCCGTCCCAGGAACAGCAGTGGCTGCGTGCGCTCAGAGAGAAGCCACCGCTAGCTGCGGGTGACGCACGGACCGGAGGGTCCGGCGACTAACCTGCGTCCGCGGGGACTACTTTCCAGGAGTCTCGCGGAAGAACCCTTCGGTTATTCTTTTAGCTCCTCCCCCCGCCTTTCGATTGGATGCTGCAAACTTCGAAAAGAATCGTTGGACCAATCTTGACAGAACCGCCGCTGGCGCTTACCCAATCAGCCAGTCCTGACGGCAGCCGTTTCCTCTGTGGGTTGAGCAAACGGGGGTGGTTACAGCGGGGTGGTGCTGACTGGTGTGGGTCGTTTCTAGCGCTCCACCTCCTTCCCTCAAACCCCGCCTCTGTATGCAGATAAGCTTTACCTGGTGTTGGGGTTGCGCCTGCTCAGTAACGCTTTGAGACGCCGCTTGGCTCCAGGGTCTGCTCTGATTGGCTGATAAACCCTCCCGTCCGACAGAATGCAGTCTCTCTTCTCTCCGTCCACCTGGGCTGGATTAGTATGAACCCACCCAATGCAGGGCGATGATTGGCTGAGTGCCGGCCGGCGCTGCCGGTTGATTGGTGGAGCTTAGAGTCAGTCTGGGAGAGGTGGGGGAAGGGATCCAGGCGGACTGAGGAGCCCAGGGGCGGGGTGGGAAGGAGGACCGGCCAACCCCGGGGTGTGGGACGGAGAGTGCGTGTGTGTGTCTGTCTGCCGAAGAAAGAAGGTGGCGAAGGGAGGAGAGTCCGAGTGGGTGGAGGGAGGGGAGGGGCGGGAGAAGAAAAAGGTGGGAGGAGAGCCAAGTGGGAGGGTGGCGGCTCACTCAGGACCCAGTGGGGGCAGCGCGATGAGGCGGGTGACCCTGTTCCTTAACGGCAGCCCCAAGAATGGAAAGGTAAGGGGGTCGGAAGGAGGCGAGGCGGGCCCGGCTGGGGGGCGAGGGCAGCGGAGTGCGGAGCAGGCCGGCAGGGCAGAGGCTGAAGTTGGGGAGAGGGGCTGGGAGCTGGGAGGTGGGCGTGCGCCGGGGTGGGGGCGTCCGAGAGCTGAAGGTGGGTCTTGGCGGCCTCCTCCCAGCCCCGGGATTCCCAGCCGGAGCCTGCCCTTCGACTCCCCAGCTGCCCGGGGACCAGCGCAGGTCAGCTTGTGCTTCATCATTGCCAAGTCCAGGTGCGGGGCAGGGAGGGCCGCTGTCACCTGAGCTCTTGGTGCTGATGTTCCTTTTTCCACCTCCTCCCCGAAGACCCCGCTGCCCCCCCCCCCCCGCTATAGAAGGCGCTTGTTTCCACCTTCGTGCTGAGTAATGATCTGCTCCAGAAAGTGGTGGTAACCACTAAGACATGTAAGGGTGATCAGATAAAAGAATTAAACTCTTTATCAGTGGATAAAGAAACTATTTTTCCGTCGTAGGTCGAATAGAGGATTAAAAATTAGAGACATTTTCTTGATGGTCTCCTTCCCCCCATCTTTTAGGTGCCCCGAGTCCCGCTGCCGCCAAACTTGTGTACTTGCTTTGTTGTTTCGCCTTATTTTAGTACCTTAGAGGACTGTGACAGTAGACCAAAATGGATTGATTTGACATTACTCTTTGCTGTGTTAGGCCTTTGTTGAGGGCGTGGTACTAAATATTTTTCCAACACTGGAGCAAGCCAAAATGAATCCTGTTCCTTCTCAGCCTCTTGCCCCACCCATGAAAGTTGGTCGGCTTCTTTGGAAAATTTGACTGTTCGAGGCAGACATATATGGTGTGGCTAAATGACGTCTAGAAGTAACTAAGCCTTAGAGACTAAGGTAAAGGTAAATTGGCCTCATTATATTATTATTTGCCAGAGTACTTTGTTTCCTTCATATTTTGGAAACGTGAAATTTTAAATAACTTAATTGTGCCACGATATAAAAAATGGCTTTCCAACTACTCTGCAACTTTGAGTAAACATGCTCTAAAAATTTGAACCACAGTGTAGTTTGTTGACTATAATTTTGTTTTCCTGTTTTTAGAGATTTAATATTCATAAAAAACATTCATAAGAAACAACTGACATAAATTCAAGTTCTTGAGTTTTCATAAATGCTACTTCAAAATATGCTTCACAAGATTTACTTATTTCTGACCGTTATTAACTTTTTCTAAACCTGTTTTGTCTGTTGTTAGCTGCTACTCATAATCTAAAACTTATATTGTTACTGGAAGAAAGATTTAGTATATCCAAAGTTACAATTGTAATATGTTCTCAAAAACAGACCTCTGATTGACCTTTTTATCCATCATGTCTTTGTTATTCCCTGAAAGACAAGATGTTTAGACTCGGTCATAAAGATTTAACTGTGCTCTAAATCTCTTCTGAAACTGCAGAATTTTGTTGTCATAGATTGGCTGGGTTAGTTGTACCATATTCTTTTAATAAGGTTTTTGGGTTTTTTTAAGCTGTCTAGTTTTGACTAGGTTAGGTTTTTGGATTTAAATTTTTTTTGCTTTAAAAATATTTTGCTAGAGAATCTCAGAAGATTGGAAAAAACACATCTCAAATAATTAAATATAAATAGGTTTATGTTACAAAGATCATAAAAACCCAAACTGGAGAATACTAGTATGATTTAGTATTAAAAAATAAATCATGCCATAATCTTTACTATTCAAATGGAAAACATACTCTATGCCAAAGTTGTCAGTGTTTCCTCTCCTCTCCCTTCAGCTGATTAAAAAAAAAATCATTACTCTTTTTTGACAAAAAAGAGCAGAATAATACATAACAGCCTGCATTTTTATGTAAATAAAGTGTATTTAGCCAGGATTGGCATGATCATGACATGATGTTAAGAAGAATGTGCTAAAACAAAGTGCTAGTACAAGGTAGAGTTTGATTTCCCATCTACCAGTTGAAATATCTGTGTCACTTTCATTATCTCCTTATTTACCTAGTTTCTGTTTTTACTTCCTGGTCATAAGAATAATATTTGTTTTTTCAAATAAGTTTCCCTCCTATAAAGCTTGTTCAGTGGTTGCCAGACTGGGCCCTGAAGCCTGAGGTTGGGGAGGCACAGAGTCACTGCAGGGGACTCTATCGTGTGCTCCCGGTGACTTGACTTCTGTATACCGAATAAACATAAGCGTAACTAGTGAATGTTTTGATGTTCAAGAGAGGCCTGTGCATTCCCGAAAACAGTGCTTTCCAGAGTGAGATGCTACACCACAGAGGATGTGCGAGAGGATCTAGTAGAGTTTGAGAAGCAATACCTTTTATTTTTTACTTAAAAATATAAAATAATATTAAAACTTGATTTTTCCAACCTGGAAAGACATAGGTGCCTTCAGTCACTGAATGTGTTAGCTGGACTTTAGCTTACAAGTGCCAGGTTAAGACTTGTATTATGCAGTTTTAACTAAACCCCTCACCAAAATGCCAAGTGGCTGTAAAAGATTGCTTCAAAGAAGCAGCAGACTGAAGATGGTATTAGGTATGCAAGCGTGAGTAAACAGAGAGAAAGAGCTGCGCTGCCACTCCTCCTGATATGAACTATGAGGGAAAAACTAGGGATCTCTTTGGCTCTGAGAAGAAGTAAAAAATGCCAAATTTTAAAGAAGACTATTTGAAGGCCTATTTAATAACTGCTGGTAACAGTAAACCTCTCCCTAAGTGTATATTGTTCTTTGAAATACTAGACAATAGGGTCATCCCAATTAGCAGGACATTTAAAAATAAATATTTTCCAGCACATAAAGACAACAGTTTCAGATTTTTTTCTTTTTTTTTTAATAAAGTCAATCTTATATTTGGCAGACTAAATTTAATGATAAATACTTAGGGGATTCTTACTGGCCAACTTGTCTAAGTCGATAAAAATCCTCATATCATTTGGGAAAACATTCTTTCTGATAGTGGTATATAGTTCAAAAATAAGTAAATACACAAAGGTTTGAGCACATGCCCAAATATGTTTTATCAATGAGCTCCATGGTCAAAAACTTTTGAAGGCCACAGTTCTAAAAAAAATTAGGATCTTTAAGTTTGGGGGATTCTTTTGTTTGTTTTCTTAAACTGCTCCAAAAAAGTCATTTATGCTTGCACTTTTCTTTTTTTTTTTTTTTTTAAAGATTTTATTTATTTATTTTTTCCCCCCAAAGCCCAGTAGATAGTTGTATGTCATAGCTGCACATTCTTCTAGCTGCTGTATGTGGGACGCGGCCTCAGCATGACCAGAGAAGCGGTGTGTCGGTGCGCAGCCGGGATCCGAACCCGGGCCGCCAGCAGCAGAGCGCACGCACTTAACCACTAAGCCACGGGGCCGGCCCTATGCTTGCACTTTTCGTCCTTTCTCCGTATGAATTCAAAATCTCAGAATTTGCATTGTTATCTTTTTAGTATTTCTTGTAAAAGTTGGCATTAAGGAATTTGAAATGAGGACTCATATCTGAATGTAGTGAGTGGCTTCTGAGCAACCTGATGTCCAGTGACGATGATGTACATCTTGAACATAAGGTGCTTTTTTTTTACTTCAGAATATTCAGTAATGAGCTATGCAAGTCATAGGCCTGTTAGATCGCGTATTCATTCATTCAGCCAGCACGGAACTGAGTGAGGAACTGTGCCAGGCACTGCAGACATAGTGGGATATGCAGTGGATCCTCATTCTGTACTGATGTTGACAGTCTTGCTCCAGGATAACTGTTTTCTTCTGGCTTTGATATGAGGTCAGAAGTATGTTGTTGGTATTAAGTATCCAGATTTGAACCCATTATATTGAATTGATTTGAAGAAAGGTGAAAATTGAGGTGAACCTTTGCTTATTGAAATCTAAACATTAACAAGAACCTTGGGAGGGCTTGCTCTTCAAACATTTAAAAAATATATTTGATACATATAAAATAATAAAGAATATTAATATGCATAAAAATTAAAAGGAAAATAATATAACAAATATCAGTAAACCCGCCACACAACCCAAGAAATAGCATATTACCAAAACTCCATGGGCTCGGCATCTGCTTTCCTAGCCCCTTGCTTCTCCCATAAAGGCAGCCAATTTCATGAATTTTGTGTTTCTCTTTGCCATGTTTTTTTAATCTCTTTTAATAAATAGTTTTGCTTTTTATATGTATGTGTCATATTGTATGTGGTCTTTTTGGACGTGCATTTTTCATTCAATATAATGTTTCTAAGATTCCATCCATAATGTCCCACACAGTGATAGCTTAGTCATTGTCACTGCTTTATCATAGTCCATTATATAAAAATACTACCACAGTTTATCTATTCTCCTGTCAATGGACATTTGGGTGGTTTATTTTCTTTATATTTTGCTATTAAATTGACAGTCCTGCCATGAATATTCCTGTATATAGATCCTGGTGTACACGTGCAAGCATTTTTCTAGGGCAGTGGTTCGAGAACTTGAGCATGCATTGGAATCACCTGGAGGAATTGAGCAAACACATTGCTGGGCCCTATCCCTGGAGCTTTAGATTCAGTAGGTCTAGGGCAGGGCTAGGAATTTGAATTTCTAACATATTTCCAGGTGATCTTAATACTGCCAGCCTAGGGAACACACTTTTAAGAACCACCGCTCTAGGGTATATACTTAAGTTGTAATTACTGGGTGTTAGGGTATGTGAATGTTTCGTTTTTCACAATAATGCCAAATTGTTTTTCAAAGTCATTGCAGTAATTTATATCCGACCAACATTGCATAAACCTTCCCATTGATCCACGTCCTCTTCAACTCTTGGTATTTTCAGACTTTTTAATTTTTAATTCTAAGATTTTCCTTCTTGACCTAAAGTTAGTTATGTCATCCTTTTTGGGAATAAAATAATTTTAATTTTTTAAATATGTTAAACTAAAAGTGTAGGTAGAGTAAATTGAGTTCAACATTTAGTTATTAATTGTGATTGGTGGTTCCCTTACGTAAATCGTCCTGCATAAATTCAACAAGTATTTATTGATTGTGTATGAGGTAATAGATATTCTGGGCATATAAGAAAAAAATGTTTTAAATACATGTGCAGGTGTTAATTTTTAAATTTGAGTAACATAGGTTACAATTGGAAAATGGTGTTTAAAGGCAAATTAAAACAAACTGATATGTCTTGCTAGGCACAGTATACCATTTACTTTCGCAATTGTAGATAGCTTTCACTTGTCAGGGGATCTGAACTTTAGAAAGAATTAAGTTAAATAGTAGTATCATATAGTAGTCATAAACTTTAATAGACGTGCTTCCAATTTACTCCATAGAATGCTTCCGTTCTACGTATAGTGCCTAGGTTATTAAAGAGGATAATCACAGTGACATGGAAGCTTTAGGTCCACACTGGGGAGTGTAACACACGTGAAGCAAATAGCCCTTGTAAGCATGAGCATTTTATAAATGTCAGCCTCTCGGAGGACTAGAGTAAGCTTAGTATGTAACAGCTCATATCCGTGATATACAAGATTTGCGTTGCTGCTTTTTCCCAACAAAGTTGTCATATAAAAAAGGTACATGTGCCAGTCTGTTTGAAACTTTCTCACCGACTTAAAATCTTCTCCATGTGTATCAACACTTCATGTTGACATATATCTATTTTTAAATCTGATGTTCTGATTGGTTTATATAAAAGACTAATTTTGAATATTATATTTGTAATATAATTCCATCTATTTCTTAGTATTAGTATGCTTGAGAAAATCAAGCTAAAGTGATCCAGTTGAAAAACAAATGCCAAAAATGCCCTCCAAATGAAAAGCAAGTATGTTGGCCCAACTTCAGAGAAATTTTCAAATTCTTTGCAGTAATTTCAGTGCTATTTTCTCTAATTGATGGCCCTTTGGTTATTTCATTTAAAGGAAATCGTCAATGGCTAGATTAATTGTCAGCTGTTAAAATAATTTTTATTTGTAAAATGAGTAGAGCAATGGAGACCTTAAATTATAACTTTTCCCCCTTATTGCGTAAATAATACATTCATTGTAACAAATCTGGAAAATAAAACAAAAAGCTCACAAGAAAATAAGTCAACCATAATTCCATTATCTAAAGGCAGCCACTTTCAGTAGTTTTATGGATATTACTTTATAATTGCATTTCTACTGTGTACTTTTTAAACTTATTAATAATGTGAGTGGAAAAGGCTATAACTGACTCACATACAGAAAAGGTGTGTCCTAGTTCAACACTCTGAAAGCAATGAAAATTTCATCCGACATACAAGAAATATTTGTCAAAGGTCTATAAACCAGGTAACATAGCATTTAATTAGGGTGGATCCTTCTTTTGCAACTGGCTGGGTTATTGTCTGGATGTCGCAGGCAATTCGGGTGGTAGTACTCAAGGATGTATTTCTTGAGCGCTGCTCATCAGCATTACCAGGGGATGGTTGGTTCCCTACGTTCACAGAAGAAAGAACAGCTTTTTATAAATCAAAACTTTTTCATTAAACCTTTACAATCTAGGTGCGAAGTCAGATTGGAAAACATTTGGTGAAATGGTAAATTGTGTTCCATACTATGTTAGGGCTGATTTAAGTGATGATAGAGTTGAACTCAATTTATACCTAGAATGTGTTCCTTAATAGTTTAGCAACCTCCAAAGAAACACCTGTTGTGCTTTCATTACCCAGAGAGTTGGCAGTCTGTATGTGTGGGTTTTTTTTTTTAATCTTATAGTTAAATTTGACTTTGATGGGAAAGAAATGGACGATGGCAACTACTCAACTGTCGATATAAAACAACCATCAGGTTTTGAGTTGGAGGCTATCACTTTGTTACTGTGGGTTGCTATGTCGTGGTCAAGCCTAAGAGAATTAAAATAGATGTTTCTTGTTCTTCATTGTACTCTGCTCTTTGAAACATCACTGTCCAATAGAACTTTGTTTGATGATGGAAATATTCCATATATGTGCTGTTCAATATGGTAACCACTAACCAGTGTGGCTGTTGAGTGCTTGAAATATGGCTAGTGTAACTGATGAACTGACTTTTAACTTTTAATTAATTTTAATAAATTAAAATGTAAATAGCCTGTTGTAGCTAGGGGCTTCCAAATTGGACAGTGCAGCTTTTCAACGTGGCAGGTGGCTTTTATTTTCATTAGGAAAAATTGACTTACAGGAAAAATCGTCAATCATATGGAAGTAGAAAACAATTTATTGTATTTTTGAAGAGTAAGTGATATAAAATGTTATGCTCTAATATTTAAATTAGATACAGAAGCATAATATAAAGAGATGTATTAAATTTCCATCCATTTTATGACATGGCCAGTTGAGGGAGAGAAGTGAAACAAAATGCTGGGGGAGAAGGTTGATGTTAGGGCAATGAGGGGATAACGTCAGGCAAAATACAGCCTTGTAAAGATGCACAAGAAGCAAAGATAAATAAGAGGAGAAAGAGCAAGATTTAGAAAATTCTTAGTATAATCGCAACTATGACAAGAATGCTGATGTTGGAAAGGGAATTTTTGTTACCCTCCCTGAGCAGTTTCCAGACTGTAAAAGTTGTTTTTGCATTTGCTTTGGTCAGTCTCTTGGTCCTTTGCATTTTTGGTCCTTTCTTTTCTCTGTTTTCTCTTTTTACGCCCTCTGCCTTAGCACAGCCAGGTTTAATGTACGTAATGCCTCGTTTACTTTCTGTTTTCTCCCAGGAATGTGTATCTGCAATAATGGTTAGAATTCCAGGCTCTGTTACAGAGGTGAAAAATGATAGGAGATCTAGGGGCACATTTTATTCAGGCTTACATCATTTATGGTGTGTCTGCTGTGTGCAAGACACCGTGCCAAGTGCTTTGCGTTCTTTTTTTTTTTCTGGTAAAATATACATAACATACAAGTTAACATTTTAGCCGTTTTTAAGTGTACAATTCATTGGAATTAAGTGCATTCACAGTATGTGTAACGTCACCACTATTTATTTCCAAAACCTTTTCATCATCCCAGATAGAAACTCTGTACCCATTAAGCAATAACTCTCCATTCTGCCCTCTGCCCTGGTAACCTTTACTCTATTTTCTGTCGCTATGAATTTGCCTGTTTTAAGTACCTCATATAAGTGAAATCACACAATATTTGTCCTTTTATGTTTCTGGGTTATTTCACTTAGCATAATGTTTTCAAGATTCATGCATGTTGTAGCATGTATTGGAATTTCATTCCTTTTTGTAGCTGAATGATATTCCATTGTGTGTGAGTGTGTGTGTGTGTATACACACCACGTTTTGTTTATCAATTCATCTGTTTATGGACACTTGAGTTGTGCATGATTTTTAATAATCCACCTAGTTCCCTTTAAATTTGCTTGCCTAGGGCCGGCCCTGTGGCTTAGCGGTTAAGTGCACGCGCTCCACTACTGGCAGCCCAGGGTTCGGATCCCGGGCGTGCACCAACGCGCTGCTTGTCCGGCCATGCTGAGGCCGTATCCCCCATACAGCAACTAGAAGGATGTGCAACTATGACATACAACTATCTACTGGGGCTTTAGGGGAAAAAAAAAAGGAAGAGGATTGGCAATAGATGTTAGCTCAGAGCTGGTCTTCCTCAGCAAAAAGAAGAGGATTAGCATGGATGTTAGCTCAGGGCTGATCTTCCTCACAAAAAAATAAATAAATAAATAAATTTGCTTGCCTACAATCCTTGCCCAAAATGCCCCAGCTTACAACACTTCTCTGGCCTTTTATCCGTATGATCCACGAAAAAACAGTTGGAATCTGAGTACTCTGCTAGTGAAAAATTGCACACTTCATTATTAGCAAACAACTCCCTCCATACCCTGCTATTCACTTCGTTTAACCTACAAGTTCAGTGTCTACTGTACTCCAGTCATTTGTGAACAAAGGTCCAGCTGCTTCCCTTTTCATATGGCACCTTTATCCACTGTCCTATGGAAAGTCAGCTGGCTGTTTATGCCTCGTGTTCAGCTCCTCACCACTTTTTATTCATAACTTTCATAGATCCTAACTGGTAATGGGACAGCTGTACCACTCAGCCACTGGGAACACATAGTTACAGTTAGGGCTGGAGCAAAAAATTCACTACATGTAGAGATTCTCACCCTACTACCTAAGCCGGTGGATATATCTTGCACATATATCAGACTGTGCCTGATTTAAAGCAGGACAAACCAAGTCATTGTAACCCAACCGTTTGCTGTATTTAAAATGTTAGCTAAAATCTGGCTTTTATAAAATAAATAGTTATTAAAGAATTAAATAAGTGAAGTGGGAAGTTGTTACCTTTCATGTGGTAGTTGCTGTAATAAATATTATAATAGACAGCAGTAAATCATTCCTATTTTAAAAATAAACCATTCCTATAACACAGGGATAATGTAAAAACATAATCATAAAGACTTAATAGATCTCAGGCGCTCTGCTAAGCTCTTATCATGCATTAACTCATGACAATTTTGTGATATGGGTGTGACTATTTTCTTCATTCCTAGGTAAAGCAACAGAAGCAAAGAGGTTAAATAATTTGTCTAAGTCAACAGCTAGAAAATGTCAGAATCTAAATTCAAGTGCAGTCTGTCTGAAGAACTGGAGCACTCTTCAACATCCTTAGGATTGTAGGTTGTTTTTAGTCAGGATTTCTTATTCTCTAGTCTTGGATTTCAGCAGTATGGGGCACTAAGTAAATATCTGAGTCATGGAAGAAAGAGGGACACTATTAAGAACCTCTCATATCTCCTTTTATATGGTAATCTGATTGTTTAGTCCTGTTTGTAGTGGTGGTTTGGAATTTGTGAGTGATGAAATTCATTATATAAGTTGTTCACATTAATGTGGTGTGTTTACAGGTGGTCGCTGTATATGGAACTTTATCTGATTTGCTTTCTGTGGCCAGCAGTAAACTCGGCATAAAAGCCACCAGTGTGTATAATGGGAAAGGTGGACTGATTGATGATATTGCTTTGATCAGGTAACCCTCCCCTTTTTATACGCTGTCTACAGTGAGCCCCAGCTTCTTGGTGCTGTGCTGTTTCCCTGAAGCAGTAGTTTAATCACTGCTAAGAATTCAGGATTTTGGCAAATGATTGCCTAGAATTTGTTCTCTGGATTTAAATCATTTGGACTTATGTGTCCAAATGACAAATAGAAATCCTCAGTACATTCCAGCATACCCATGCACAGTTCACATTTGGCTATGAGGAATTTCTTTATGTTACTAGAGATGGATCTAATAAGATGCATATTTTAATGTTAGAAATCTAATTAATCTCTTTAATTTTTATATGCCACTGCTTACTGTTCAGTTCATTTCCTAAGAATACTTTGAATTTTGAAAACATTACAGAGACCTACTTGGGTGAAAACTTGCTAAATATAATACAGTTTTAAGCAGAGTTAACTCACCAGTGACCCACCACAATCGTGGTTTTTGGTTTGTTTGTTTTTTAAATATCCCAGGCAGATTTATCTCTTTAAAACAAGTGCCTAGTTCACCTCGTTCCATCCTCATAAGATCATAGAATTTTGGAGCAGGAAGAGGCTTAAGAAAGAAGATGGGAAGGGAAGACAAATTAAGTCCTGACTCTGTGCCAGTTATGTTGTATTTGCTTTGCCCAGGTTGTCTCATTTAAATGGCAAAGCATGGGTGGTTTTGTTTTGTTTTGGTTTTTTTGGTGAGGAAGATTAGCCCTAAGCTAACATCTGTTGCCAGTCCTCCTCTTTTTGCTGAGGAAGATTGGCCCTGGGCTAACATTCGTGCCCATCTTCCTCTACTTTATATATAGGACGCCTGCCACAGCATGGCTTGATGAGCGGTGCATAGGTCCATGCCTGGGATCCAAACCTGCAAACCCTGGGCCGCGGAAGTGGAGTTGGAGAACTTAACCGCTACGCCACCAGGCTGGCCCCAGTGTGGGTTTTTTTAATTGAAGTTGTGAAGATAATGATTCTCTAAATTATAATAGTGTACAAATTTTAATTTTTGTTTAAACCCAGATCGGAATGACCTTTCAACGTAATATACTGCCTTGGAAGTTAATTACTTTTAGTTCCTTCATTTTATAAATGAGGAAACTAAACATCTGAGAAGTTAGATGACTTACCCAGGTCATATAGTTTAGTAGTTGATTTTTGTTAATGAGAAGCAAACAAATTTTCATACTAGTCTTAAAAAGTTAACCGGCATGGTGAGCAAGTAGAAAAGATTATAGATTGCATTTAAAATTCAAATAAGATAGGAGAATTTCTTAGTTTTTCAGTATCTGTCTCAGCTTCTTTTAGTTTTTATGGATAATTGAGTCACATTATTGAATGATTTACATCAACTTAAATTTCTCCTTAACAAACAGTCTCCGCTTCTAGGAAAAATTCAGTATATTCCTATGATTTCTTATAGGAAATAAAAATTTCTACAACATAAAAGGTTATGACTGAAGCCTTCTGAACTATAAAATATCAAGCTGTTTAACAGTTTGTGGTACACAGTACAATCTCTGATTGTTTATTTACACTAATGGTGGGATAGATTGGGGCAGAGGAGGAAGGCATACACTGATAATCTAGAATTGTGGATTATGTGCAGTCCTTTACATTTGGGGTTGTGATGGGTGTATAGTGGGTAAGTATTTACAGCAGAGTACTTCCAGTTATATTCTTCCTAGGTTTAATATGAAAGTGTATTTTCATTTCCAAAGCACAAAGCAGCTGATAATTTGGGAGAAACCCCCAATAATTTATTTAGAGTTACAGAATTAAAGTTAAAAAAGAGTGGGCTATAGCTTTAATCGTATCCTTTGATACGATAATAGTACATTCTTCAATTGATAAGAAAGCTGAATTCACATAATTTGTATAGTAGGTTTTGTTTTTCCACTTCAAAAGTACTTTCATATGCAGGGTCTTATTTGAATTTAAATCCAAAGACAGTTAATCCAGTGGGTTAAGCAAATCACTGGAAACTTAGATCGTCAACTTCTTTGTGATGTAGACCTATCTTCTATGTAATTCTAAGGAATAGTCCCTCTAGTCAACAGATAATTAATGTGATTTCTGGATTTTGATGGTGGATTTTTAAATTTTGATTTCCCCAGGGACGATGATGTTTTGTTTGTGTGTGAAGGAGAACCGTTTATTGGTAAGTAAATTCCTTAAAAGCCAATTTTGTCTGCCAAAATAAAAAAGATGAAATGGCAAATATTTTACATGTGCTTACTAAGCTTAACATTAAAAAGCATCCTGTGGCAGTATTCGGATCTTCGTACCTTTTTTGATTCTGCATTGGATGTGTGTGTTAAAGTAAATTTTTAATTTGAATTATATGATCTCATTTTAGTATGGATACCTCATCTTTTACATGCCTTTAAAATGCTCCGGATGTGCACATATTCATTAAATATGATATGATAGGGTAGTTTTGATTTTAGAAACTACAAATGTTTTTTAAAATTTTCTCTTTGATGTCAGAATTTCTCTAAGTGCTATCTTTTTAACCATTTGTTGCTTAAATAAGTAGTGTTTGACAGTTATTCACGGTAGTGAAATCAAATCAGTCAAAAGTGACTTGAGATGAACCACACACATGCACGCATGTACACACTACCCTTTGATTTGGAGGAAAGCTTATACAGTTGTGTATCTCAAAAGAAAGAACCTAAGGCTTAAGTAAGGTAAATAATCTTTAACAAATATTTGATATATTTAGTTCCATACAATGACACCCTGAATATTTAAGTGTTTGTTTAAGCCATCACAGTAATTGTGTTTGGTGAGTGGAGGGAGTTCTCAGGATCATCGCACAGGCGGTTGCCAACTTAGAAGTAGGTGCATACTCTTCTGTCTCTACCTTAAAACTGTGCTCAAACATTCATTTTCATCTTGTTTTATCCATTAGCCTCATGGAGTGGTTGGCAGGCACTGGTTACTTAATTGGTTCATTGCATACATACAAACAACAAAATCAAAAGTGATTGATTAGTGTTTTTGTTTTACCGTTATGAACTCTTGGATTTAAAAATATTTGCCGTGTTTTCATCCTCTGCCTTTATTGATGCCTAGATTATTTTACTTTTGGCCAATGGAAACCTTTTCAAGTCCTTTTAACATAACTCGTTAGTCTTTTATACCTTCCTTACTATCTGGAGTAACAAAGTGTTCATCTTATATTTCTCCTGTCCTAGACCCAGATCAATGTGTTTTCCAAGAAGCCTTGATTTCTTTCAGTGGGAAATTTCATTTCAAGACACAATCTGAGTGGTAGGGAGGCTCATAGCTACTGGGTTCGTCATTGTTACTAGGCTTTTTGGTGGACAAAGTTGGAAATATATAGCTAGCTAGAGATAAAATTTATATATAATATACATTATATGATATAAAGCTTTATATCATGTATAACATAATGTATAGATAGATAAAATATCTCATGGGTTCATACCAATACTTTGGTTTATAATCAGGATTATAAGATTTTTATTTAACTTCTATCTTACATCTATGTCTCTTTTCTTCCATATCAATGATCCTGGTTTTCAGGGACATAGGGAATGATGGAATTATAATGTCACCCAATTAATTATTCATTTACTTCATCCCATACAAAACACAATAAAAGTGTCAGTAACAGTCCTAATACTTTCAATACCCATGTGATTATTAAAGACAGTTAAACATTATTTGCATATGCTCATTCCTTTCTTCCCTTACTTAAAAAATAATTGTGTGGTTTCTACATTGTCAGAATATATAGCCATTATTTTTATACTATAGTTTCTCCCTTAAAGCCGTCACTTACTGGAAGGCGTCAAACTATATTTAATACTTACCTCCAATCCTTATGTTGATGCCTTCAGTGGTTGTCTGAAACTTGTTTTCTAGCAGATTCTTTACAAGAACTTGTGAGAACAGTGTTCTCTAACATCGTGCATGTTAATAACAATTTGTGGCTTCTATACTTGAAAGTCAGTTTGGCTTCTGTACTTGAAAATCATATGTCAAAACTGAACGAATTGTAAACTTTAAAGATGTGTAGTTTGGTGTATATCAATTATACCTCAATTAAGCTATTAAAAAAATCCTTGGTTCACATTTTCTATCTTTAAATATCTTAAATATGTTACTCCATTTTATTCTAGCATGAAGTGTCGATCTTTCATAAGTGATTATTTTTCCAAGGTCACCCAAAGGATTATTGTCTTTCTTTAAAGTATAGTAATTTAGTACACTCTTTCTGGTGTTCTAGGTTGTTCTGGTCGGATTCTCTCAGATATGTGGTGGGCCTGTTCAATATGTAGTTTCAAATCTTTTTTAATTTCACAAGTTTTCTTGAACTTTAAATTATGTATTTATTTTGTTCCCTTGCTTTGATTTTCTTTTTTGAGAACTCCTACTATATGTATGTTGGTCTTCTACATTTGTCTTCTGTATTTGAAATCTTCTATTAAATTCTTTTTGTTTCTTTCTTCATTTCTTTTTGGTTTTTAAAGCTCTCCTCCTCTTCATCTTTTATTTCCCTTAAGGCATTATCTGTTGTGTTTAGTCACTCCTGTGTTTCTTCTAATTGAATCTTCGTTTCTGAAATGGCTTTTCTTTTTATTTCTGATTCTCTCCTGATTTCTCTCACCTCATTTCTGAATTTTTAAATTCTGGTTTATGTTGTTCTTTCATACCTTGCATTATTTACTTCTTTTAGAATGGTTTGCAATATTAGATTATAGTGTTTATCTATTTTATGGACGTTTAGTTCTGGCACATTTTCATTGACTATGGATGTGTAATTCTCCTTATTCCTTTAAAAATTTTGTATGGGATTTTCTGTTACTCATTTTTACATGAAATTAGTTTTCCTTAACTTGAGAAGGGAGGGCTGACTTAGGAAAGTTTTTCTAATTTCATGGCTCTAGAATTCCCTTTTCTGTTGTTTTTGTGAAGTATTAAAAAATATGGAAGTCACCTTCTGATAGATTTTGGTTCTGTTAGACCTTTTTGACTTTTGTGTGGATTCTTTTTTCTTTAGTCTCTGTTGTCTTTATTCTTTTCAACTTGAGTTCTTTTCCCAACATCTTATCCTCAATATGGGGCTTTGTCCTAGAAGGGAGTTGTGGCTGGTGGGTTTTGAGAGTTCATTTCCAACCTCTCTAGATCTTACTGCACACTACTTGCATAACCCACGGTTGGAGTGGGCATGCCCCTCCCACTTTCAGTCTGCTCTTCTTACATAGACTCGCTGAGCTTTGAAGTGAGTATGTGTGGATTACTTTGGAATTCTTAGGTTCATCACATACCCTGTTGTTTCTCTCAGCTTCTTCCGTCAAAGCTGCTGATAGCAAGTTGCTCTTCTAGCTGTCGGTGTTGGTGGGAATACCTTATCACTTAGTTTTGTTTTAGATGCTGTCTATGGCTGTGGATTTAGCTGTCCTGCTAGCTCTGGTATGCTCTTGCGTGTGTTTTTAGTTTAAAAAATGATGCTATCACCATCTTCCTGAAATTCCCAATCCTAATGGCATTATTATTTTCTACATGTCATCTCTAGATCCTCAGACAGATTCTAAACTACCTGAAGGGTTGTCAGGATCACACACAGACTGGCTAACATTAAATGTTGGAGGGCGGTACTTTACAACTACACGGTAGGTGCGTGTGCATGGGTGTGTGTTTGTATGTTGGGGGCACTATGTACTGTTTGTTTTTTCCTTCAGTTTGCTGATTTCTTTAGAAGATATTCCAATGCTGCTTAAATATACTATGTGATCTGAAACCATTTTTTAGAAAGCTTTTTTTCAATAAAAGAATAGAAAAATGGTTCACAGGTCATTCCAGGGAAAGCATGAAAAGCCTGAATTTAGTGTTTTAGAACGTGCTTTTTAGATATCCAGTGATATATATGCAACACAAGTAAAAATTAACAATGTTGAAATTTGTAGAGACCGCAACTGCTTATATTAAAGGGATAAGAAAAATGTAAGTTTAGATGAAGAATATTGTGATGTGATAGCTTGCTAGAAGGATAGATTAGTATTTAAATTAGAGGAAACTAAACAATATTTAAATCAAAGGAAGAGCCAGATTAGAAGGGATTTGGATAAGTGGCAACTTACTGCACATTTTTGTTTCCCAGCGTCACTCCTACCAGGTTATAGCATGCATCTTTTTGAGAGAGCAGCTGGGATCGAGTATACTCTTGACTTAAATATGTTTGTTTATAAAGACAAATGGAGAAATCCATTTTTTTCCCTGAATTCTTAGGAGCACTTTAGTGAATAAAGAACCCGACAGTATGCTGGCCCACATGTTTAAGGACAAAGGTGAGTGCAGTGCATTTGTTTTCACATTTGTGTGATCTGCTTGTAGCTGTATTGACTTTATAAATCCTGTCCTTCTGTACTTTTAATGAGATCAATATTTTTTTTTTTTTTGGTGGGGAAGATCAGCTCTGAGCTAACATCCATGCCAATCCTCCTCTTTTTGCTGAGGAAGACTGGCCCTGAGCTAACACCCTTGCCCATCTTCCTCTGCTTTATGTGGGATGCCGCCACAGCATGGCCTGACAAGCTACGGTACATCGGTGCGTGCCTGGGATCTGAACCCAGGCTGCCAGCAGTGGAGCACGCACACTTAACCGCTACGGCACTGGGTCGGCCCCTGAGATCAATAATTTTTATAAGAGTAAAAACTTACTGGTGTGTTACAATTTTTCTTCCATGAATTTCTAACTGTGTTTTTTGTTTATGGGGGGCTTTCTTCATTTTAATGCAACACAGGTGTCTGGGGAAATAAGCAAGATCATAGAGGAGCTTTTTTAATTGACCGAAGTCCCGAGTACTTTGAACCCATTTTGAATTATTTGCGTCATGGACAGCTCATTGTAAATGATGGCATTAATTTATTGGGTGAGTTTTCAGTATAATTCCTCACACTTTTTTAAGTTTATGATTTCTATTTTGTTTTCACTTGCTTAGTAACATAGTATATTTTCATAAAGTGAATGTATATCTTTTCCATTATTAAAATTAAGTGTTTTTATATGTATACAAGTATATATGTATATGGAAATAGGTACAGGCACAGGTAGTCTTTCAGGTAGATGGTCTTTGCATATATGGGCATATGTCTAATCTGTAAATTCCAATTTTAGGTTCTAAATAAATTTAGATTTTTTCACAAGGGACTTTAAAGGATTTTTTTGTCGTTTTTTAAATTGAATTGTGACTGTGACTTGGCTTCACGTTATGGACCTTCCCATTATATTGAGCAGTAGAGTGGTCGAGTGGGTAAATTGTACTTTGGAATCATAAGATCAGATTAGAATCTCAATTCTACAACTTACTCGAAGATTTATTTGGGAAAAGTCTCTCTGAGTCCCTTTTGAAAACTGAGTGTTAAAAATACACTCATCCCTGATGACATCACAAGATTTCTGTGAAGCTTCATGGAGCTGTTGTAGACAAGGGCCCTTGTAAAGCAGTGGTTGCATATTCAAAGCTCATAGGCCTCCAAGTGACTAAACTTGATCTGATTTGAGGAATGGTGGGGAGTGTGGTGATCTTGAGTGCACATTCCTACTCAGCTTGCGCAGATTGTTGCCATGTGAGGGTGTGGACTGAGGGTGCCAGAGCCTTGATTTTTAAAGAAAAGCTGGAAATCTAAAATTTTATGTGAAATCTTCTGATTTTTGAAAACACTACATACAAACACATCAGAATCAGCCTGGGGGCTGCTAGCTTACAATCTCTATAGTAAAATACAAAACACTCAATAACTTTTGTTGTTGCTGTATTAAATTTTATATTGCCTTTAAAGCCTACCCACTACAAAAAATATTGGTTGACCCTTTCATCTAGCTCCATAACGATTCAAAACTAAATTCTTGTTGCTTTTTTTTTAATATAATTTTATTTATTTATTTTTCCCCCAAAGCCCCAGTAGATAGTTGTATGTCATAGCTGCACATCCTTCTAGTTGCTGTATGTGGGACGCGGCCTCAGCATGGCCAGACAAGCGGTGCATCAGTGTGCACCCGGGATCCGAACCCGGGCCGCCAGTAGTGGAGCGTGAGCACTTAACCGCTAAGCCACGGGGCCGGCCCTCTTGTTGCTTTTTTATTTTTTACTTTCTACCAACTGTTGCTTTAAACCTTCTATAACCTATTTTCTATTTAAGTCATTCTGCAGAAATTATTATTATGAAATATTATTATGAAAATAACCAGTGATCCACTCTTGCACACTCTTTTCTGCACCTGTGTCACTGCTACTCTTCACTCTAATGGCCACCCTCTTCTCCCGAGTGCAGTTTAAACCTCAGCTTTAGGTGTCCCGTGGGCTCGTTCACGCGTCCCATTTTAACTTTTCCTTGTATCATTGACAGCATTTCGTCTTCTCCTTGCCTGGGAAATAACATCAGAAATACCATATCTGTGTGCTCTCAGCCTTCAGCAGGGCAGGCTGCTACCAGCCTCCGTTGGTTGTTCCTCTTTCATGCTTCTCGGCCATTGATCTTATTTATTTAGTCGTTCAGCAAGCAGAGCTCTCTCCTGGATTCCTTTTATAAAGCGTTGTTTTTAATTAGTACAATTTCCACCGAAACTCTTTACATGGGCTACAAGTTGCCCCATAATTATGTGCTTTAAAATAATCTGAAGTAACTTATCTTCCTCCCACTTACTAAATGACCTTGTTTCTTGCTCTTCCTAATTTATGCTTTTATCAGAGTGTGTTTTTTGTTTACCTTCATTATTTCATTTTGCTCCCTGCCTTTACTGCCCTTCACTTCTTCCAATGATTTCACGTCCTCCTTTTCATTTGTCTTCAAAACCCTCTTACCCTGACTTAAATCATCTTTTCCCTACCTCCTAGCTAAGTCTCACCTCAATCCAATTAGTCTACTAACTCAAGAACTCTTCTAGCATTTCAATATTTATTTCCCTGACGTTAACATGAATTTTCTGAACCCCAGTTTCATATAGTAAAAAGAGAATGGTCTTAAATGTCATGTCAGAACACATAATTTAATAATAATGATGATGATCATTTATTGAGGACCTACCAGGCACTGGGCATTATGCCAGGTAGTATATATGCGTTATCTCTTTTAATACTTCTAACAACTTTCTGAGGAAGGTAATAATATCCCCATTTCGCAGATGTGAGATTTTAGTTAAGAGAGAGATTAAGTCGCTTCTCTAAAACAAGAAAGGCAGTGAGTGGCAGAGCTGGAATTCAAATCCTGGTCTTACTGGTGCTAACAGAAAATATGCTAAATGTTATTTCCTTTCCTCAACTGTCCTCCGCGGGTGCCTTTTGAATTTATAAAGCTTCTCTGGAAGTTTTTAAAGTTTAGTCCCGAACCTAGAATTAGAAAAAAAACCTTACCACGTTCCCCGGGAGGTTCTGATTTACTCAGAAGATCTTGGCACACTAAGAGTGAGGCCCACTAGAACCTTTCACGATGGTTTCTACGAGGGACAGATATTGAAGTGTAGCTGCCCCCTTCATGAGGAAGCCAGAGATGAAGCCGCTCTGGTGTGGACCGGGAAGTGTTGTGCTGGAGCGGCTCCCTGAGCAGTGTGCTGTGCCTCAGGTGACCTTTGTTTTGCAGTTGGAATGTTGGAGGTGGAGTTGGGTTTTCTAGAAAAGATCGTCCTCTTCTTCCCAAATAACTGCCATGGTTTTCTTTATCTACGTATAGTTACCCTTATTAGCTTGGAACTGTTTGAAGGGCAGGATTACATCTTTTATTTTCTTTATCATTTCTGAGTCCTTACTGATTTTTAACAAGTAGACTCAGCCAACTGAATGACCAAGGTCTTCATTTGAAGGAGAATGGATTCCAAATTTATTCCCACATGGTCTGATGAAGATGTTTATTAACACATGTGAGAAAGTATACATACCGAGTCAGCTAGAAAATACAGACTTTTTACCAAGTTAAGAAAAGTAAATGATAGATAAAATCCCTTTTATCATTTAGAAATTTTTTTAAAAGTTGATTCTCCTATAAGAAAGGTTTCTGAATTATACTTTTGACTTTCATTTTGAGTCTGGCTGACTTTTATTCATTTCTACAGTTTTCTGATTCATTAAGTTCAAGATATTTGTGACAAACCTATTCAGATCTGCTCCATTGAAAAAGTCAATGAAATGTTAAGATTAGGTGAACTAATCATTTGTTATTGGATTCACAATCAAATCACTCTATCAGGTATTTTAGGAACATGTGATATTAGGATTTTTTTGCCTGTGGCCTATTTAAAGTAATTTTTAGAAATAATTTTGAAATATGGAAGGCTTTCATTCTAATTCATTAATTTTCCATTTTTTTCTTTGCTGAATATGAACTGTTTAGGAAAACTTTATTTTCAAAATATTTAAAAAATACTCTATATGTATGTTCCAAGCATTAGTTACTTTTCTTCTGTATTGATTGATAGCCTATGGGTTGAATTTCACTTCCATTTAGCATAAAGAATTCTATAAATATTAAAATGAATAGTTTTCTGTAAAATTCAAATCATTTTTATTATGATAGGTGTGTTAGAAGAAGCCAGATTTTTTGGTATTGACTCATTGATTGAACACCTAGAAGTGGCAATAAAGGTAAGGCTCTTTTTACATTAGTCAATATTACATTTATTGTAGCTATCTCCCAAAAAGCTCCACTAATTTCTTAATATCTTTTTCAAGAATTCTCAGCCACCAGAGGATCATTCACCAATATCTCGAAAGGAATTTGTCCGATTTCTGCTAGCTACTCCAACCAAATCAGAATTGCGTTGCCAGGTAGTCAAAGCAGACTTGCACATGAGTTATTTATGTCAGCAAATCTGTGAATCAAGTTTTACATTCTTCTAGGATTTTTTTTTTTTTACCTTTTCCTTTTTCATGCAAGGTATGATTTAATTATGAGTCATAGCATTGATTAAATCCTAACATGGTTAGCAAAAAAGAGATGTAATAGCCTTTTTTATTATCTGGTTATGCCTCATATAGCAGTTTTTGAGTAATGCATAGAAATTACAGCAATTAAAATAAAAAGTCAATTGTACAGTTGTTATGTATGGCTAGTCAGCGGCAGATACTTTTATGAATTATAGCATTAAAGATTTTAAAAACCAAATTTATTTAAAAACCAGTTTTATTTTTAAAAATAAAACTATCTTGAATTATTAAATTAATAAAATATTTAAATTCAACCAGGTTTAATGAAAATAACCCTTATCAACAGGTACGTGGCTAACAGAGATCCCTCTTTAGAACATAATCCCTCTTCTGCACATAAATGAGGTATAGCTAGGCTGCATTCGAATGTTATGTGTAAATAGAGTTTCTTTTACTAAGAACGCATTAAGGACACTGATTTTATGTGTCTGAGTTCCATTTGCTCATGTTTTGTAATAAACTCTGAATGACTGAACTGCCAAGTGCTTTTAAAAAACTTGGTGGATAGCTATAGTAATTAAATTTAATACAACAGATGGTTTAAATGTTGTGACAATTTGTGTTTTTTAATTTTAGGGTTTAAACTTCAGTGGTGCTGATCTTTCTCGTTTGGACCTTCGATACATTAACTTCAAAATGGCCAATTTAAGCCGCTGCAATCTTGCACATGCTAATCTCTGCTGTGCAAACCTTGAGCGAGCTGATCTCTCTGGATCAGTGCTTGATGTAAGAATCATTTTTGATTACAAGAGAAAATTAAAATTAAATATTTAGTCTATCGAATAGTCTCAAAAAGCAGAAATTATATCTGTCTCTTACTGGAGATTTTACTTGAAAACAGATAATTTGATAATGACACTGAAAGCTCTGAAAGTGAAATGAGTTGGTTTTGCAACTTCGATATCCTTTATTAAACAGAGACCTGAGAGGTTTAGCAACTAATTAAGAAATTAAATCTTGAAATTAGGTCCTGATCTCCTCGTTATAGTGCACTTTATTTATCAGGATTTATATTTTCAGTAAATTATTAGAGTAAAGCTGAAAAGGACCTTTGAAATCTTCTGTTCAACCTCATTTCTGATGTGGAAAAATGTTATTGCTCTAGAGGTATTTGGCAGAGATATTTTGAAATAAACATGATATGCATCAGTCTGTGTAAGTTAGTATCTCAGTGGCTCTCTCTGTCTCTCTACATACACAGTCATGCACTTGCGTGATGATGTTTTGGTCAACGACGGACCACAATACAATGGTGGTCCCATAACATTAGTACCATAGAGCAAGGTGTGTAGTAGGCTATACCATCTAGGTTTGTCTAAGTACACTCTGTGATGTTTGCACAACAATGAAACCGCCTAACAATGCATTTCTCAGAACGTATCCCTGTTGTTGTGACGCATGACTGTGTATGTGTTTACTTATGTGTATGTATATATATAGATGTGTATGTGTTTTTACATATGTAAATGCATGTATTCATGTAACAAGTATCTGTGTTAATTTGGGGTTAGAGGATATATGCAGAACCAAAAGTGAAACCTACTTCTAACAACTGCTTAACACCGAGGCTCATGTCTGTATGTCTTTTGCATTAACACCATCCAGTATAGTACCTTGCTTTTAGTAATCACTGAATAAATGTTTACCAAATTTTATAATTTTGGTTTTATTCCTTAGTTGCAACCTATTTTTCCGTGAAGCTTTTATCAGATCTGGTAACAAAATCTGCCAATGTGCTTTTTTATTATTTTCACTCTCCTTGTTCCATCTTCTGATGAAGGATCAAATTGGTAGCAAAATAAGCAAAAGACCAACAGCACAAAGAAAAGGACCTAACCTTTAAATAGTGAAATGTCGGGAGGTTTTTTTGTTAAGGACCAAAAGTAAAAGATAAGAAGACAGACTGGATCATTCAATACAACTGGTTTTGAGTTCTATTTAATTAGAGTATTACTAACTGTGAACCTGAACCATAATTTTCTTATCTGTAAATACTTGTTCTACCCATATTGTATAATTGATGTGAAGGCCAAAATATATATATATATATATATATAAAATATATGTATATATTTGATAAACTGAAGTGGTATAGAATTGTAAATTTAATTATTAATGATAAAAATGGCTCATGTTGAAGAGTCATTGCCCAGAGTGTGTAGGCTGTGAAAGTCAAAACTAATTGCTAACTGTCCTTGGCATTTGAAGATGACTGCTGATGAATAGCCATATGTATTGCAGTGTCCGCAAAATATGATGTGTGCTAAGCACTCTGCAACATATGATATACCTAATGATTCCACCACTCTTGCTGAACTTCTCACCCAATTTATTCCTCGTGGGCTGTGAAACATTTCCATAGGAACCATTCAATTCTGCTGTCAACCCAGGTGATCTCAGTTGCTATCACAGTTAAGGAGTCCATGTCTACACCACACTATTCTGTCAGCATGCGTTGGAGTGTTTCTTCCACATGCTCTGCCTGCCGTTATTGCCTTTAACCTGCTGCATAGAAGCTGGTATAATAATTCAGCTCTTATGTATCCATTGCATATTCCCAGTCCAAGACTTATAGAATACTAAGAGCTGGAAGGGACCTTGATGATCATAGAGTATGACCCTGTTGTTTTCCAGACTGAGAAACCTAGATACTTGCCCAAGCCCAAAAGGCTAGTTAGTTACCAGAGTTGGAACTAGACTCTAAAGTATGTATTTTTGTTTGCTTATTTCTTTTTTTTAATGACTTTTTCATTTGGAAAATGTCAAACTTATACAGAAATAGAATAATAAAATGAATCTCTCTTGTACCTCCATTACTCAGCTTCAACAAATATCAGCACATAAACAATTCGTTTGTCTATACCTCTCCACAGATTATTTTGAAGCAATTCATTATTTTGTAAATATTATTATGTAAGTATTTAATAATAAATATTATATTTATTATAATGTAAATATTTATTTTATATATCTCAAAGATAAGGACCATTTTTAAAACATAATCTTAATACCATTATCATACTTAAAAAATAATGGTAATAACCTAACTGCTTTCATCAAAACCCATCGTCCTTTGATATAGTAAGCTCAACTCTTACAGTTGCGACACTGGTGTACTTAGTAGCTAGGTTCTAAACTCGCAGTGTTGGTGACTTGCCTTACTGTTTGATGAATAGAGAGTGAAATGCTTTCTGTGGTTGAAGATAGAAAACTTTGCTGATTTTCATGTATATTTGTTTCTTTGTGAGATTCTGTAGTATAGCCTTGAGTGTAGAGTAGTGCTTACATAATAATCTTGTGAACTTTTGATAATATTTACAGTCTCTTTTACCTGGGAGCATTACGTACAGAAAAATAAATAAATAAATAAATAAATAAAATCATGTATCAGCTTCCTGTCTTGTTATATTTTCAAGTATATAAAATCCAGTCATTTTTTTAGTTATTTTGCTCCTTCCAGGTCCTCATTATCCTTCCTATCAGTCTGAACTTCTGTACTACCTTGTGTTAATGTGAAGGTGTAGATGGGAATATGGGTGCATTTGTCAATTATCTATGATTTGAAATGATCTGTAGCTTATCTCCTTTTCACTAGAATTGACTGTTGGGTGAATGAAATTACACTTAAGAAATAAGGATTTTTCTTGATAGGTATGGGTATAACAACTTAATCAGTCGTAGGATTTTAGGTTTCTCCACTGTTCTAATTCTAATAACAGCTACAGTTATCATTTATATGGTGCCTTACAGTTCTTAAAACACTTTTACATTCATCATCTACTTTGGTGGTTATAACTTGTGAAGGTCTAATGTTAATAGCAACTTTATAGATTGCTTCCTGCCTTAGCTACTGTTTATTAGAGTTCATTTCTGATGGCATTGAATCCTTTGAGACGATTTAACATAATTTAAAATTCTAACATATGTTCTCTAGCTTTTTACTCTGTGTATTTTGCACTGTGATTTGGGTGCTCAAAGTTGACAATGTTGTGTAGCAATGGTTGGTATAGGAAGACCCGACCAACAACCTGTTAGTGTTTTGTAGCTCTGTGATGCCTTTAGTTGCTGGCCTTAGTATTTTGACCTTTGAAATGAAGGTAGTAATAGCATGATTGAACCCCAAGAATTTCATTGATTGACCTTACCCATATATCTCAGCTGTCGTAGTGTCATGCCTGTTTATAAAAATAGAAATAGGGATGTTGTATTTCTGCCTCTCCAACTTCTTTATCTAAACTTTCATGTAAGTTGGGCATGCTGTTGTTAATTTGGCTTTTGTTTCTTTTAAAACAGTTCTTTTATTTTATTTATTTTTTTTTTTGTGAGGAGATCAGCCCTGTGCTAACATCCGCCAATCCTCCTCTTCTTTTGCTGAGGAAGACAGCCCTGGGCTAACATCTGTGCCCATCTTCCTCCACTTTATATGGGACGCCGCCACAGCATGGCTTGCCAAGCAGTGCGTCGGTGCGCGCCCGGGATCCGAACCAGCGAACCCCGGGCCGCCGCAGCGGAGCGCGCGCACTTAACCGCTTGCGCCACCGGGCTGGCCCCTAAAACAGTTCTTTTAAAAGGACTATTTCTTGAAAACAGTTCTCAGTTCTTATTGAGTTCAGTATTGTAAACAGAAAATGTTGATTGTGAGTGTATTGAATTGAGCTTTTCCCCCCCTTTCCTATTTTTTCTTTTACTGTTTGAGCCAATTTTTTCTTTTCCAAACAAAATTATGAACCATAAAACATGGACTCTTCTCTTTTCTTTGCCAGTGTGCAAATCTCCAGGGAGTCAAGATGCTCTGTTCTAATGCAGAAGGAGCATCCCTGAAACTGTGTAATTTTGAAGATCCTTCTGGTCTTAAAGCCAATTTAGAAGGTGAGAGTCTATCTATAATTGCCTTTTCTAAGGTGAAAACATACCATTAAGTAAAAAGCTCAGGAAAATAGTTGTTAGGGATAAAACATGATAACCGTAGAGGGGTAGATTTCCTCTGTCATTATTCTTGGAGAATTTGCAAAGGGATAAGTCATGTCTTGGTCTCAGTCATACGTTAACCAACATTGAGAACTCGGGGAAAACCAGCCTCTAAGCTGGTTTGGAGAAGCTTTAGTTGGAGAATTAAGTATCAACATCTTAAACTTTCAAACAGAACAACACACTCTTATACTGACCAAAATTAAGAATTTCATTTTGCAACAAAGCCAGGCAGTTTTTGTCATGTTTAGATGTAAAGTTTGGTTTATGAATTCCTTATTGCTTTGTTGTATCTATGAACTGGTCACTTCATTTATTTGTACATTTAGAAGACAGTGTACTTATCTCCCTTGTCATAAACTTATGGAGGCATATTATAAAAGTGCTAATTATCAGAAGACCGAATTGAATTCCTCCCTCAAAAATATAGACTAAAACATTCTTTTTTCTTTTTTTTAAAGATTTTATTTATTTATTTTCCGCCCCAAAGCCCCAGTACATAGTTGTATGTCATAGCTGCACATCCTCCTAGTTGCTGTATGTGGGACGCGGCCTCAGCATGGCCAGACAAGCGGTGCATTGGTGCGCGCCCAGGATTGGAACCTGGGCCGCCAGCAGCGGAGTGCGCGCACCTAACCGCCAAGCCACGGGGCCGGCCCTAAAACATTCTTAATTCATAGTGTAAGCAAACAGATCGTTAACAATGAACTCTTTATATATGGCAGTTGGCTGAGAGAGGGAGATTTATAGTTCATAGAATCATTTCCAAAAGTTAAAGGAGCCTGTCGTCATTCACCTCCATTAAGTTGTCTTGTGGTGTTTTTGAAGGTAGATGACTATAAATATTTTTAAGTTTAACTGCTCCCTCAATATGTTCACCTTAGGTGCTAATCTGAAAGGGGTGGATATGGAAGGAAGTCAAATGACAGGAATTAACCTGAGAGTTGCTACCTTAAAAAATGCAAAGTTGAAGAACTGTAACCTCAGAGGAGCAACTCTGGCAGGAACTGATTTAGAGGTGAGTCATCAATTTTTAAAGAGTTATTGTTATTCTAGAATTGCTGAGTATCTCATGCAAAATTTATTGAAATCATAAACAAAGTAGGTGTCTGGTAAAAACTGCCAGGTAACATGCCAGCGCAGCTGGAGGGATGTTTTCCTTTCAATTGCTTATTTAAACAAAGCTGAATTCCAGAGCAGGATTCGGTTACCTAAGTGGTAGATGCCAGTTTCAGATTTGAAGGTCCATCTGGCATTCAGTGTAAGTTGATTTCATCTCTCCTCGTTTCTTTGGGTCTCTCTCAAGTAGATAAATTTGATAGATGCTTTATTAATGTAATTCATTGTATTTTCCTTAAGTTTTAATTCCACACAGCTAAATGAGGCCAGACTATTTCTTGAACTGCTTGAAAAATTTAAATGATATCCAGGTTTGAAATCAGGTTCAGGGAAAGCCTATTTTAAATTGGCATTATATTCTTTTTGAATCTCAACTTGAGATTTTAGTTTTGTCCAGTCATCTTTTTCATCCGAATTGTATTCTGTATGTTGTCTTGATTTGCACATTTAGCTAGCAGACTCAATAGCTGTTGACGGGTCTACGTCTGCGCTTTCCAGTAGCACCTTCTGCAATGCTGGACATGTTCTGTGGCTGGTTAGTACGGTAGCCACCAGCCACATATGGCTGTTGAGCACTTTAAATGTGGCTAGCACAACTGAGAAATGGATTTTTAAATTTTATTTAATTGTAATTAATTTAAATATAAATAGCCATATGTGGCTGGTGTTATATTGAACAGTACAGCCCTATACAAGAAAATCGGGCAAAGATGGGATTGTAGAGGACAATATGTCAAAATTTAACTTGCTGTTGACTTTTCTTAAATGTTTTGGCCTTGCTCTCTTGATAGCTCCTAGCAGCAGAGTAGCAGGCCATGTTAAACTTAAAGGCAAGAAAGAACCAGCATAAGGCTGAAGGTATAAACCTATCATAAGCACAATTATTTATTTATTTTTTATTTGTTACTGTCACCTAAGGTGATGATTTTTTCCTTGGTTTTAGTTATCATGCAGTCACTGTGGTTAAAAAGCAAAAGCCTCCCTCTGTCCTACTGATTGCATAGACTCATCAGGTTGACTGTTGAGGGGCAGCTGCTGACATTCTGTCCTGAAAGGTTATGCGCAGTCACCCTTCTCTCTAACCATTGTCCCCACCATCCCCAGGGGCTTACCCAGAATCTCTGTCATCTGTCACTCTGTGATCTCAAGAGAAATTTAAAAGCAGCTCCCAACTGTGGTGGTGGTTACACTGTTGTATACATTTGTTAAAACTCATTGAAGTGTACACATAATTTGGGGGTTAAAAAAAAGGCAGTTCCTTGCTATAAAAATGTCAGGGTTGGGGAATGGAAAAATCTATTCCACAATTTAATTATTAGGTAAAATCTCTTTCTCTCAGGTGTTTTTTAATAGTCTTTCTCTGCCCTCATGCCTTTCGTCGTTGTTCTTGAACTGGGGTAAAATTGTTTAGATGATATTTACTACATTCTGGATTTTAAATGACTGATTCTAAGACGCGTGAGCAGAAGGGACGTGCTTCCCCTTTAAGCCGTGTTTATGTGTGTTTGTGGTGGTCGGCTTGAGCACCAGCTAGAGACCACAAACAAAGAAAAAGATCTGGCTTTCCTCTAAAATGGAAATTTTCCAGAAATAACTGAGTTTTATTATATAGAAGCATTTTCCTAATGTGCCCCAGGAGTTATTTTGAGAGGAAACAGATGAGGCCTTAAATGTCTGTATTCGTTACGTGAAGACGGTTTTTGTCTTACAGAATTGCGACCTGTCTGGGTGTGATCTTCAAGAAGCGAACCTGAGAGGTTCCAACGTGAAAGGAGCTATATTTGAGGAGATGCTGACACCGCTGCACATGTCACAGAGCGTTAGATGAGAATTCCAGGGCTGCTGGAAGATGCACAAGATGAACAGTGTTTTCCTTATCACTCTTCTTTCTCCGCCCACTCAGTTGTCTAGAAGAAATAACACTGTAAGGGAATTAAAAAAAAACATTTAGTGGATTATGCTTGTTCTCAGTGGTGCATAAGGGAAAAAAGTGACTTTTTTCCACATTCTGATTTTAACAGAGAAGCACGCACTAGACGTAGGGAAGCTAGATTAGACTGCTGCCTTTTGAGTGGAATAGGGGGATTGGCCTGGCTTTATGACCAGGAATAGTATCTATTATATTTGCTTTGAAATAGGCATGATGTGGAAATACCATCTTGGTTTGAAATGCATTTGAGGATTTTAATTTATGAAAAGCACAACATATACAATTATATTTATGGAATCTCTAGATGTAGTATGGATATTTAAATTGTTAAACTTTATGAAAAGTTTGAAAAGCTTGTTCAGGTTTATGAATAGCTTTAGTGATGCCTCCCCTCCTTTGAATACCTGTCCTACCGTGTGAATATGGTGAGATCAGGCTCCCCAAGGCTTTCTCTTCAGGTTCATTTTTATAATGTTTATTTTTTTAGAACAAAACAGTAGCTAAATTAAGAAAATCCTTCATTCTTACTGATTGAGGCAGAGTGGAAGGAAAGACATCATTGTGCATCATTGTCAGCTGAAGTTACAGTGGAACTCTCCAGATGGAGGAAGAATTTACCTATAGCTACAACTTTTAAATGAGCATTCCCTAGAATTTCATTCTAAGCAAGTTCCACTCAACGCCAGACCAGGCAGTTTTATCTATTTACACTACTAGCTTAGTTCCTCCTTACTGTCAAAACAAACAGCAAGATATTTCAAAACCAAAAAACCAAGGTGTATTTTTTTTGTGTGTGTGAGGAGATCAGCCCTGTGCTAACATCTGCCAATCCTCCTCTTTTTTTGCTGAGGAAGACTGGCCCTGGGCTAACATCTGTGCCCATCTTCCTCCACTTTACATGGGACGCCGCCGCAGCATGGCTTGCCAAGCGGCGCGTCGGTGCGCGCCTGGGATCCGAACCGGTGAACCCCAGGCCGCCACAGCGGAGCACGGCCACTTAACGTCTTGTGCCATCAGGCCGGCCTCTCAAGGTGTATTATTCATTTAATTCATATGCCAAATAGTGTAAATAGGGCAGCTTAGAAATGGGTATTAAATCCCAATCCACTGCAATCAAAGCTATAAAATATGAATGACTATGGCCAAGTCATCTTTTAGAAGTCACCATAAGATAATCACAGCTGAAAACCGTATGATGGGGAATGAGAGGATTTTAAACTGACAGTTTGATTATACCCACCAAAAACCTTAGTAAAAATCAAGGCATTTGGCTGGTCCAAGATATGATACCAATCAGTCAGCACCTGTGGTCCTTTTACTTATATTTTCTGGTTTTGTCTTCACTTTTAGCCTGATTTTCTTGAGTCATCATCTGTCTGCAGAAGCAGAGATAGGGCCCGTCCCTCCTTACCAGTAACCCGTGTCCTTATGTCTTCCCCAAGAGCAGGGATATAAGCTGTGTCCAAATGAGTTCTGAATTCTACAGACTCATCAATTTGAGGCAATGAATCATTAAAACCACTTTGTCTCCTTTGGAAGAATGACATGTCTTCAGTATTTACGTAGCTTTTTCTTCTATACATATGCAAAGCTTTCCTTAAAGGTGAAGGGTACATATGCATAGTGGGAGGAGATTAGACCCTTACAGGTGAAGGAAAGCAAATTCAGAAATGAATTATTTTCTTTGCTTTATTATTTGTACCAAAACAGAGAAGTATTGAGAGATATCTATTTTCATAATCAATTATATTTAAATCATTTCACTCTGTACTATATTTTCAATAATTATAGAATGTGTTGTTCATCCACTTAAGGGTACCTCTGTACACATAACCTAAAACTGCAGAAGAATCTGAAAGCTCTAAATATGGTATGTTTAGAAGCTGCAGATTTTGGATCTCATGTATACTGCATTAATAAATGATATGAAATGTTGAAAGAGAGTTTCTTGTCTTACTTTTGAAAATCAGCACTTTCTGTATTTTACTTATATTTCTTCAATATTTGTTGGTCACCAGCCCTCAGGGTCTGGGTGGAAGAGGAAATACAGCATAACATGTATTATGGATTATTAGTCTCTTTGAAAGCGCTGCTCAAGTAAATTTATTTGCTGCTCAAATTTATTTCTTTAAGCATGATTATTTTATGATCCTCTTCTTAAAATCCACCATGCTAACAACACAAAGAAATTTCATTAATTCTGAGCAAAAGAAAAGATTGCCTTTCAATAATTCATTTAATTTTTGTTACTCTAGCTGATGAACATTACCAGTTAGGTAATGTTATTTATTAGGTTGGCTAAATACATTGCCCTCAAAACATTCTTGCCTGACAACTAGGAGAGAGAATTTTAGAGAGGGAAGAAAGTTTCAAAATAGTAAAATTTTCATTAACCCTAGTGATGCAACATATCTGTACACAAGTAAAAATACAATTGTTGGGGGGGGGAGGGGGTATAAAAAGGTTTTAAACCTAAACTAACTAGATTATCCACATTGATAAAATTCAGTACTCATGTAATTGTTTAGAGCAATTCATATTATCCTGTAATATAGTCTAGTCCTTTGAACTACAGTTCAAAGAAATATTAGTAGGAAATATTATAGATTCATTTTCTTATGAAGGTTACCATCATAAATCAAGACTTGGAATATTTTCTCCAGTTCATTTTATGAATTGGTTGTTTATACTGTAAATCTACCCCCAAGTCAATTTTAAATCATCTTTAATATATGAAAAGCCCCAGAATTTTATTAAGTCCCCAAGGAAGTATTATCTTTAAAATTAAAAGGTACACCTCTACAAAGAAAAGCAGTTACATTATGTTCGGTATAAAGCACTTTGTGCAAGGATTAATTCTCTGAAGCCCTTTCACAACCTTAGATCTGTCAGCAGGAGTTCACCAGGGCTGCTTCCTGCTGAGATTTTACATCAGGGCCAAAAGAGGTTTGCGTCTGTCATTCAGCAAGATTACTAAATCATTATTGTTGCATTTTAATAATTTTGAGATGTTTCTTTCAATGCTGAAAATGAAGCCGTTTTCCCTCTAAAGCCATACTTTAAAATTTAGGAAATTTCTAAATTTAGAAAAAATTTATGACAACTATAAAATCCAATTATTTAAACCCAATTTACTAAATTCAGATTCAAGGTAAATTGATTTCTCCTTGGAACTATGAAAAGGCTCAAAGTCTGTCACTAAACATCAAAATTTCAATAACTGCATATCTGTTTGATATCCTATTTGGTGCTGTAGAAAATAAAACAAATGTGGCCTTTGCCCTCAAGATCTCTGTGACTTAAGACGATACTAACGCAGCCTTAGAAGGCATGAAGCATCTTGAATAAATTCATAGACCATGTGGCTGTGTTCATCTAAAAATTTCAGAGCATTTTTCAAAAGTTTAATACTGACTGATAGAAATAACCTATAAGAAATCCAGTGGTGCTTATCCAGAGATAAGTGACCCATTTCATTAGTCCTAACCAAAGACATCAGCCTAAGCAGCACTGTGAGAAGCACTTCTCTTTCAGCAAACAGGAAATCAGTTGGATAATTTAAACAAACACTCTTCAAACATAATGAACTCTCCTTGAAAAACAGCCTCTCGTTATCTTTACATTACAGTGAGATGAGATCCCACCTCTTCACATCAGAATGGCTCTTAAATTATTCAAAGTGTCTAAATGAAATAAAACAATTTAAATGAAATAAAGTCAATCACTTATGTTTTATTTTTTAATTCCCCTCTATCTGCAATTACTCTTTCAAGTTTAGCCCCTCGCCTACCCTATCATGAGGATCTGACAGCCTCCGCAGATATGGCTGGGGGCGGGGGGGGGGGGGAGTTTATTTGGGAAGGACAACATTGCCCTTTATGCTGAAATCCTTGCAAATGTAATTACTGAAGAGGACACTGGGCAATGACTCATTGGTTCAGCATCCTACCCAAGGAGAAATGGCCAATCCTGGAGCTACAATGAATAAATATTCAGTTATTTTTAACCATTTTGCTGCTTAGCAAATGGAACAGGCCTTATAGTCAGTTGTACATGAAGGATTAATTCTATGTCAGATAAAACATATCTTTGATGCAGAAATAGAGGAAGCATTAGGCCTAATCTGGTTAAAAGGTCCTTAAATTCTATTCATTCATTCATTCAAACCTATACTTATTGAATGCTGACTAAATGCTAGGGATTTATTAACAGATGTTTAAATAAGATGGGATCCTTGACTGTCATAGCCCAGGGGTAAATTAGAAGACAATCATGTATTCAAATAAATGTAATCAAGAGTAATGGTTCTTTCTCTTTTTAAAATGCTGTACCATGTAAATAAAATGTCCAAGGGCTCACCTGGGGTGAACATCTATCTGTAAAATTTGGATAACAGTATCCACTTTGCAGGACTGTAATGATGAGTGAGGTTGATCTTATTCAAATGCCAGGTAACTATTATTTCTCATCTTTGTGCTCCCACTGCCTTTAGCACAGTGATTTGCATGTTTCAACTCGATAAGTATCCACTGCAGTGAGTCCAACTGTTGATCCAAGTCTGCTCTAGATGGTCTTGCGCTTAGTGTGCAACCACTACCAACTATGGTAGTCTCCCCTTATCCATGGGGGATACGTTCCAAGACCCCAGTGGATGCCTGAAACTGTAGACAGGACTGAACCCTATATATACTACAGTTTTTCCTATACATACATACCTAGGATAAAGATTAGTTTATAAATTAGGCACGGTAAGAAATTAACAACAATAACTTCTCTTTGGCATATCCAAAATGCCAGCAGGAGAGAAGTCAAGATGGCGGCATAAGCAGACTCTGAACTCACCTCCTCCAGTGGACACAGCCAATTTA